AAGTGACCTTCATAACTTCACATCGGTTTAAGCTGCAGACATGATACACATATGACATTCAGCAGACCTGCCCCTAGCTAGCTTGCATGATGTCATTGAGCTGTGATGTCAGCATCAGTGAGTAATTTGGCTCAGAAAATCACCCAGAATCCTGATATTATTGCTTTTTGGCCTTAATATTCCAGCGAAGGGTTAAATCAGTGACATGATTCACACATCAGATCACTCATCAGACTCTGCCCTCACAATTCAGAGTGATTTCATCCACCTTTGACTATCAATCAGTCAGAAATCCAGCTCCAAAATCACCCACAACTCATTCACTACTGTTATATTACATCTCTGCTTTTAGCCTTCATATTATAAACACAGGCTTAAAACAGCGACGTGGTGCACATATCAGATCACTCATCAGACTCTGCTCTCACAATCCAAAGTGATTTCATCCACCTTTGACCATCCATCAGCCAGTAATCCAGCTCCAAAATCACCCAAAACCCACTTGCTACTGTTATATTACATCTTTGCTTTTAGCCTTCATATTATAAACAAAGGATTAAAAATAGCGACATGATTCACACACCAGATCACTCAGCACATCCTGCCATCATTAGCCAGAGTGAGAGGAACCAGCTCTAACATCCCACATCCCAGAAATACAACACCATTTGCCTCTTCTGATCAGCTACTTCATACAACAGTGTTCTCTGTGGCCTGGCCTCGCATCAAGCTGAAAACCTGAAGCTCAGCTTTTGCTATTTATAGTGTGAATGACTGTAATATTAACCAGAGTCTGACACTTGTAGAGGAAAGCATGACTGTATGGAACGAACAGAAAAAAATGACTTGGGCAATTCAGACATAAGTTGTGCACACACACAATTGTGTATTTAGTATTTTGATTAATTAAAAATGTTTTAATTGGCTTCAGTTCTTAAATATCGTCCTTATTCAAAGTGAAGAGGCGTTCTTGAATAATAAGCCACTGTTAGGTTTTTTAGGCATCTAACAGCTATCAACTATCAGCTGATACTTAAGGATCAGGTATCATATCGGAAAGGAAAAAAGTAATAATGGTGCATCCCTACTCTGAATAATACTGATGTGCATTAATGAAATAGTTCCTACAGCTCTAGCTAACAATAAATGAAAACTAAAGGTAGTTTATGTGATCTGTTACACATAATAGTAGCGTTCCTCTAAGAACCTTAACTCATTATCTGAAAAGTTACAGTTTTCAGAAAAACAGCAGTTCATGTAAAGAGGACAGTCATGTTTATCAAATTGTCATGATTGTCCTCTTGCCTCATATGTAGTGTGATACTATATGACAAACATTTTGGTAACACTCAAGGGCAGTGTACCTATGACTACACGACACCTACATAAGCTTTTCATGACAAGTGAAATAAACCCATATAGATGGATTTATAAAGGCTTATTTTGGATGTCAGTTATCATTACACTTGCTGAGGTGGACAGGGTATGACAGCTGACGCTTACAAATTCTGCCATTCAATAAAGCCTATATTTTTATAGATCACAGTTTGTCACATAGGCAAATCTATTTGAGGTTACTTAAAGGGAGACTCTAGCCAAAATGGACAAAACTGTCACGCAGGAATTATTACATAGTTTCTAGAGTAAGATTTCCAGGTTTGAATACTGGAAACATTGGACGATGGAAGCAAGGCTGAGAAAACCACACTGTGTTTCACAATAATTAAATAATATATTAAACTCTTGTTTTCTGCTGGATAGCTGTTTTAACAACTCAACATGGTAAGTGTGGACTTTGGTGGTAATAAGCTTCAATTACGTATTATTTGCATTAGCCTAGTAGCTCCAGTGCAAAACTAAAGACACAAACTAAATATGTTAATGTTTGGGCTCAGGTGAAAAATTGTGTAAATTTGACTTTTTGCGAAGGCTTTAATGCTACATTGTGTGGGGATTTACCATGCAAAGCTCAGGTGATCAGTTTGTATATCAATATATTTGTTGATTTCCACAGAGTGAGTAAAACTGTCTGCTTTGTTTTTTTCAGGGTTGTGTAAGCTGTAACACCGCCGGATTGGAGGGAGGTGACGTGGCAGCTGACTCTCCGAACCTGCCGACTCCAGACAGCTCGTCCCCTCAGAACTGCCCCACAGAGGACAACAGACCCACCTCTGACACCTGACACCCCTCCCCATTCCATATCACCCCAGCACTTGACCAGCCAAGCGCTGCTCTCTCCCTCAACCAGACCTCCTTCTCTCCTCTTACACAATCATGTTTATCTAGTCAGAAAGGAGTCTAGAGGAGGCGGAGTTTGCGTTTCTGTGCCACTAGAAACACTCAGTCTTTGCACAGATGCGAATTGAGGGGCGTCCTCACTACTGGGACCTTATAAAACAGAGAACAAGGCCCATTCCACGTTCGCAATTGTATGGTCTGTGTGAAGACCAGAGGAGAGGGATTTTTTTTCCACTCTCTTCCCAGTGATCGATTGTTCCAAATGATGGACCCACACAACTGTGAATTTGTATTTATATCAGTATGCTTGAATACTTTTCTCTGATTCCTATTTTTGTATTGTTGTGGTTCTAGTTTTGATTCCTCCATCTGTATTATGTGGAGAATTGATCCTCCAACACAGGGTTTTAATCCTCGGCATCCTGGCGCAATGTGTTGGCGGTGCGTTACAACATTGATGAATGCTGTTGGGACAGTTTTAATTATTTCGCTGCCTGATCACATGACACATCTATGGAAGTATAAAGACTGTGGTCCATTCATGGCCCCTCCATCCAACTATGTATTGCATACTCCCTTTAGACAGTGCACATTCAAAGAGACATATAAAGCTCCAACAGCAAGGAGCATCTCGTCTCGCACTGGCCAGATTGTGCTTTTGCTCAGCGAGGAGTCTGATTAAGAAGTGGAGGAGTGCACTGTATATTGCTGCTTTAACTTGTGATTATTTTTCTAGTGTTCTGCCTCAGCCCCAAAAGCTGGAAACCTCAGTATGTTTTTGGTTTTTCCCCATCAGCCCCACACCGCACATACGCTTTCCTGCAGGTGTCTCAAACTGTGTGTTGTCCTCTTACTCAGGAGGGAATGTGTTTTCAGAGAAGATCACGTAAGCGGGGCCTTAAGTTGCTGCAGTCAACATGCTAGCTCATTTCTCCTTTTCGACTTGGCTTTCACTTTTGTTCTGCTCCACAGATTCAGTCATTATTACCCTAATTGGGAGTCATTTTAGCTGCAGTGTGTTATTGTCCGACCAGTCAGCACTTTCTGGTGAAGTTCAGAGCCGGTTCAGTTGGTAACAAAATACAGAGCGGAGAACTTGAAGAAGAAACCCTGACAATGGCTAAAGCTCAGATTAACACTGATGCCAGGTCCTTATACACAAACCATTCATTAACAGGGGAAATGCCAGATGGAGTCAGTGAAATAGAAGGTGAAAGGTTTAAAAATTCACACCAAGTTATGCTTTCTTTTAGATGTGCTCTTGGTTACATTGTGTTCCAGCACTGAATGATTCAGTGGTTCTTTTTTCTCTCATCATTTTTAATATTTCTCAGTTTAGCACTTCCCAGCTTGCTCTTCCCTATCTCATATGTCATGACTCGCAAATCTAGAGCACTCCTTCAAAACCTGTGTAGCCTACTACCATGTTTTGGCCACACGGCATTGTCAAACACTGTTTTGTAAGGTAGAAAGCACTCAGATCTCGTAGTCCCACAAATCCCACAACATCTAGATAATTCTCTATTCAAATCATGTTTTTTGCACAGTTTTGTCAAGTACCTTATCGAACTGAAGCAGAAAATGTAGCGCTAGACTTTATCACACAAGACCCCTACTGAGAAACACAGGCACAACCAGCATTAGGGCTCAACTCTACCTTTTTCATCTGTTTTTAACATGCAAAGCACCTCATGGACCTGGCTTGCAACTCACTTGCTGAAGATTCTCCACAAGGGGGAGCTATTAGCTATTTAGTAGCTTTTGGTGCTTCACAGAAGTGGTAGTGACACTGTGTCCATGTTTATTTGCTTTCACAGTCTATAGTCAATAAAAGGCAAAGTGCGAGAGTCGTTGAAATGCCGTAACAAAATTCCCTATTAAGATTCCACACAATTCTTCTTTTTTTTTTTATTTATTGAAATGTTATGCCAAAAAAGGCGTGTTTCTGTATGGAATCTCTCGTCTTCTCATGAGTCTGTTCTCTGTGATTTCCCTCCTTGTCCCAGATTGGTGTTTAGTTAGTGTTTCCATTGTCTGTCGGTCATATTGAGGCATTCTAATTGTATGGCCTTGGTGTTGAAATCGTGAGAGGCGGGCCTGCATATAGAAGAACGCAACACTATCAGTGCCGACGATGCCGAATGCTGTTTTCTACAGTTTTATGGCCGAACACAAATAGGGTTTTTTTTTTTGTACAGTTTTTAGCCAAAATAAATGTATATAACAGTACTATGTATTTTACAATACAAAACGGGCATACAGAAAAAGGAAAAAAGACGAAATAACCATTTTTGTCTTGAATTCAGGGAAGTATTTTGTGACACCTTGAAAAAAAATTACAAATAAAAGACCACAGTGACTTGAAACGCTCCCTCCTCATGCCTACATTGCAAGTTAGTTCGTTATCTAGTGCAGTGGGTCTTAAACTGGTCTACAGGGACCTCCAGATGGTCCACATCCCTGTGTTTTGTGAGTTGGGTCAGAGCAATAATGTGGACCGTCTGGGGGTCACTGCGGGACCAGTTTAAGACCCACTGGTCCAGTGGATATCTGCAGATATTTCCTAGAAATTTTGCTGTGTTGAGAAAGAATATCTGAAAGAAAATTATTTGTTACAAACAGGACGACTGCAGACTATTTTGAAACGTAGAACTTTTATTAATATTTAACACTCAAATATTGTATCATATTTACACGTGTGCCAAAGTGGGTGTACAAAATAAATGAGCATCTAGATAATTCAATAAGTCTACCTATGCACGTCTCTACTTCAAGACGTTTTTGCATCAGTCATTTTGGCAAAGCATGTGAGAGTGTGTGGCTGTACATGTGCAATATGCTGTGTCTCTGTGTGTGGATGTTTTGTTTTTTTCAGACGCAGTACTTCCAGAAGCACTCTGTGTTGCTTCCTCTTTTCCGGTACTGCTTCCTGCCACCCAGGACATGGCTCAGGGGGTTCAACAAAGGCTTCTCCAGCATGACCTGCAAGACAAGACCAGACGACTGAATACCTTAAGATCTGGTATCAGTAGCCACCGACATGATTTCTTTGTACGTCACTTTACAGATTTTGAATTTGAGTTTTTAAGATAAACTTACACTAAGACATTGAAAAGCTTGCATAATTCTGAATAACACTGTAAACATACATGTCCAGATGTGAACACCATCATTTCTCCTGAAATCAAGGGTGTTAATGAGGAGTTTGTCCCTGTTTACCGCAGTAACAGCCTCTATTCGTCTAGAAAGGCTTTACACTAGAGAAATTCAGCGTTGATCCACATTTTCACTTACGTCTTTCACCGATTGGCTTGGGATGAAGCTGGCTGTTTTGAGACCTGTCAGAAAAAAAGAAGAGTCATTAGAGCAGAGCCCTCCATCCTTCTGCACTGAGTCCACACTGAGCCTTAGCTTACATGCATTTAAGTAAAAGTAATAGCATTTAAATTAAGTAGATGTAACTGAGTAAATATAATTAGTTGCTAACCACACTGTTATCTTTATGACAATGTAGTACTACACAGTAAAATCTCCAGTGATAAGTAAACCTGTGTTCATTTGTGTGCAGCTAATGAACGCTAATGTGTTCATTCAACACTGTAGGTGTTCATTCACCTTTAGATTGTTAACAATGTACATATTATATTATATAGAACAACAGCCTATATAGAAATACAGGAAGAAATATGTAGAGTGCTGTACGAAAGTCAGGGACCACCTTTCATTTACTTTCTAGTCAAAGCGGCCTTTAAATACAAGTTTTTTTTTGCCTTCTGGAGATATTTCTGAGGAGATTACGTATAAGATTATCCACTTGCATAAGAAAAGGGAGAGTCAAAGGAAAAGAAGAAAAACAAAAATGAAAAAGCAGAAGTTTCCAAAACTGTTCAAGCATTATTTCGCATGAAAGACCTGGTAGATCCACCAAAACTGCCCCGATCAGATAAACAGCACATAAAGCTTTCATCTTTGAGAGAGAGGAGAAAGTCAAGCTACTTCAGATCTGAAAACATCCACCAGTGTTTCTGTCCATCCTTCCACTGTGAGAAGACAACTCAGTTCTATGGGTCTGAAAGGATGTGTAGCTGAGAAAAAGAAACCTGCAAATCAAGCAAAGAAGCTGCTGATGTTCTCAGAAGGGTTGACTGGCCAGACCTCAACATCGCTGAATGTGTTTGGGATCGTGAAAAGCAGAGAATGCAAACCAACTTCTGAGACTGAACTTTAGAGGTGTGAAAAATATCTCTGCAGATTTCTTTGAGAAACTGAAAGCAAATCTCCTGAAATGAGTGAACGGTATAATAAAGGCAAAGAGTGGAAAGACTAAATGCTGAAAAATGGGCTGCACAACTGTTGTTTTAGTTTGATGGAATGCATTCATATAAAGCATATAAAGCAAAATGTATTTAATAACAAACACTGCTGTGAAGCTGAAGGGATACAGACATATTAGAATAAGAAGTGAAACAACATGAAAACTAAAGCATTAGTCATAAGCCTAGTCATAACATAGTCATAGTCAGAATGTTTTTGGCTCACCTTCTCTGTTGATATCTCCTGTAAGGAGTGCAGGGTAGCCATTGGACAAATACAACTGGTCAGAATAGGACAGTTCTTCTGGGCTGACCAGCTGGTCTTCTTCTATGGACACTGTAATATCAAAGTCAAAATTTTATCGATCAGTAGTTTGTAATCAGTTTTTAACTGTACAAAACCAGTATAGCTGCATATATATGCATGAATAAAATGAATGTAATATTGAATGACTATAAACTGACTCTATCGTGATCCTAATGCTCTACACAGGTTTCAAATAATTAGTAGAAAGCTGTAAAATAAATAAATAAATAAATAAAGAAAGAAATTTTAGACGAGAGTGGTAGATGATTCCATAAAAGCAAGTCATGTTGTGCGCTGCAGCACTCACCAGGCCCCGCGTAGGACATGATGTCAGCCGAGTGTGCGATTGGGTGCCCTAAAAGAGGCTCCAGAGCTGCGAGAAGGAGAGCGCAGGACAGCAGCAGTTTACACAGCATCGCTTCAACGGGAGATGGACAGTCTGTCGGTCAAGCAGAAGGCCTCAGCTAAATGTCTCCCTCAGTTTCTATCCAGCCTTTATATACCCCTCTCTCAGTGAGGTGTCAAAGCACCTGTCCAGCCCTAACATCACCCCCCCTCTCTCCCTCCACTCATTCACTGTCCTCCCCACTTCTCTGGATCTGCATGTGCTGCTGCTTGTAAATCCAACTCTGCGCCAGCCGATCGCTTGAATAAATGGATCAATAAAACACAGGCGTCAGGCTGCGCTCTGCATTTTTACCACTCTGCTGTGTAATTCAGCCACCGTCATCAATCCAGTGAGCGCAGGTGCGAGAGAGCAGTTTGTATCACAGAGTTTGGTGGGCAGACGGCCTGGCAAACTGCCCACTTCATTAATTTCCTTAAGAGGCTCCTACGATTTATGGCTCGAAGGCTGGCGCTTCTGTTTTTAGGACTTGTGACGTAGAGGATGTTTATTATTATTATTTTTGATGACGTTTGCTATGGAAGTCTTTTGCCCTTTGGGTCAGCTCTGGTTTGGGTATCTAGTATATCCAACACAGTAATGCAATAAAAGTATTTATTAAATGGACAATTCTACTGAATTAGATCAACAGTAAAAAAAAAAAACTATTAAAAAAATGAATATAAGTATTCAGATCTTAGATATTTATGTGGATTATGTTACAGTTTATTTAAACCAAAATATAAATTCCGATAGTCATGAGCTAAATAAATAGAAGATTATTAATTATGGGGTACTTTGTATTGGAAGGTGGCTGTCCCAAACCCTATCCCTATAAATTTCAACTTTTTAAAAAAAAAAAGATCCTTTAATTTCTTTTAAAGTGATGTTAAAAGATTTAGATTTGTCATGAGTTTATTTTAAAAAATAAAACATTTTTTCATAAAAAGCTGCCCCACATTTTCAAGTCACGACCGAAACACATGGGATTTTAGTCAGTAGGTGGAGCCTTATTTTAGCCACGACCCTGTATTTTAGAGCAGGAAGTGGGGCTGCATCCCTGTCCCTCGTTACCACATGGTGAGTTAGATCCCATTGTTTTGAAGTAAATGTGTCCCAAAGTCTGAAAATCAGTGTGAACATTATGAATTGTCACCACTGAAACACGTTTTTTTTGCTATTAAGTAAATGTTCTTAGCGTTTCAATGAAAAATATTATGATTTTCTATGTGTACAACTGTTATACTATCACGTACTGGCTAGCGTTTTTGAGTTCTGCTCAAAATCAGCTAACATTATCACTACTGAAACAATCACCAGTGAGTTACTGAGTAAAGTTTCAGTTGTGTTATGATTGTTTTGGTAGTGACAAAATGAAAGTTTCAATCATTTGTTTCAATAAAAGAAACATAATTAAGGTTTAGAGTCACTCAAAGCAAAAGGATTTTAGTCCAAGCCGGTTAAAAGTCTGAAAAGCATTGTGAAATCTGATTTTGAATCAGTTTGGTAAGAGTGATCATATATACCATGACTCAAATGTTTTGAATCACTGGTCATATTAATAATTGCTCATTTATATGGCATTATAATGCAGCAGGGGTGCAAAAAGTACAAAGAAACTATAGAGCCACTCTTCCTTCCAGTTAAGCGTTAGCAGTATAAAGCTGTCTACTGCACTTATTGTAGTGTATCGTAGTGCTGAAACATTGAGCTACAACAGCCGTATTTTAGTCTCTGTGCATTGCCGAATGACAAACAGTGAGAATAAGAAGTGGATTCGAAATGGTCAGAGCACTGATTTGACTTTAAACAGAGCTAAATGCCGTGTGTGGTGTGGCCCTGTTTACTGCTGCTGCAGTGGCCTCACACAAAGCAGTCTCAGTGTCTTTGTACACAATGCCAGCTATTTTTGTAATATTTGTGTTTTAAAAAGATAGAATTTTTTCATGTGTAGTGTGAATTTGATATACTTCCTCTATATTTAACTAGCTATATTAGAAGCCATTACTAACAGTATCTTATAAATAGCTTTTCTGTTATGGAGCTTTAAAGCATTAAAGTTGCCCCATTAGGCTGTACAGTACATTTTATTGCATGCAGAAGGAAATAATTCATAGAAATTCATAAAAATGTTGACAAATGTGAATTTAGTGGGTCTTGGCAAATTACAGGAATGGGGCCTCCGGGACGCACATCTTTAAATTAGTTGAGATTCTGGGCTCCCGAGTTGCACATCCGTTTACACTGCAAAAAATGATGTCTCAACACGTAAAATCATCTAATATTTCTCGTTATGAGACAATTGTAAGAATATTTTATGATTATTTGTTATTTCTATGTATTTTTTATATCTTAAGAAATCTACTAAGTGAAATAACTCACTATACCTGCAGATACTTTGGTTTATTTGAAAAAAATAAATATGCTTGAAGCAAGCAAATTATCTGAGAGGGCAGTGAGATAATTTGGTACAGATTGATGTAGAAGTAATGAGTAATAAGATTCCTTTTTTAGGAAATACTAAGTAGCATGAACCCAATGCATTTTGAGAAGTAACTAGTAACTTGTTCTTGGGGGGTGGGGGGTGGGGGGTAATGACCCCAACACTGGAGCAAGCTATGCTAACATTAACTCCAGCATGAGCCTGGGCTCTCTGTTCTAAATGAAAGATCAAAGTTAGCTTTAGGAGTGAGGTGACAAAACTTTCTGCTTTCATCCCTCTTTTGGCATCTCTCTGCTGGACTGTGATTTTCCCTCTCCACCCCTAGAAAACCACACTGAAGAACCTCTTGTTTATAACGTTGATTACGGCATACACTCTCGGAAAAAAGGGTACTAAACCATCACTGGGGCAGTCCACGTCTTGTAACTGGGGTGGAACCCTCAAGGGGTCATCTCAGTACCTTTAGTCAGGGAACATAACTGTACCATAATCCACTAAAATTATATTTTCTAAGTTTTACTGACTCCACACACCCCGTCTCGTCTCCAGGCTTTTATTTTACTGTTATGTTTTAAAACGTTCGGTTATGAAAAGATACAAATATGTACTTTTTATACCCAGTCATGTTACTGACCTGTTGCCAATTAACCACCAGGTGTGTTTATTAGCAGAACACAACTTTACCAAAGTCCCAACTTTTTTGAAACGTGTTGTATGTGTGTGTGTGTATGTATATATATATATATATATATATATATATATATATATATATATATATATATACACACATATATATATCAGGTTATATTTAGTAGTAGGGCCTCTTACTTTTTATAGAGGGGTCCTGAATAAAACAACAGACCAGATTAAATGAGTCCAGCTGCTTGTGGACGTGTCATTTTAAATATATGACCTCAACCGAATGTTCTAGTGATTCACTGCCTTTGGTTCTTACGAAAAGTGCTACAAACTACTTTAATATGCTCTGACACACAGTAAACACAGATTTATGCACGATGACAGCAGTTAACACACAGAGTGGGCTGTAAACAGGGGGCACTATAGAGCTCAGCCGTTCACTCTGTTAGAAATGTTCGTCCTCTAATGAGAACTTCTCTCAGTGTCTGTTTAAACCACTGTCTCAGGTAGAAACTCCTGTAGAAAACACAGAAATGTTCCCTGTATTAGTTTGTTTTTGAGGAAAGTTGTTAAGTCTGTGTGGTGAAAACAGTGATTTGAGTAGCTCTGTTATGGATGGATTTAATTAGCTAATCTGTTTTGCGAATATATTATGCATTTTATCATAATTAGCACATTATGCATACATCATACACAGACAATACTGTAGTATGGAAAGAAATCTGTATTTTTATTGTGTCTGTTTTTGTGATAAAAATGAAAAAGTGCTGAAAACAGAATTGTGTATAATGTGTGTTGCATAAGTAACAAAGTCACCAAAAGGCAGCCAAGTTTGTTTCATAGCACAAAAATGAAATATTAAACATGTCAGGGTGAGCTGTCTGTCTGTCTGTCTGTCTGTCTGTCTGTCTGGCTGTCTCTCTGTCTGTCTGGCTGTCTCTCTGTCTGTCTGTCTGTCTGTCTGTCTGTGGTGAAATGTCTAGACTCTGGTGGATCCTGCTTCTATTTATCATGAAGAGTTTTACAGAAAATATCATTTATATTTCATTCTCGTCCCTCTATATTTCAGAAGAGGATCACTAAATACTAAACACTAAATGTTAGATTTTAAAATGGATTTGTGGCTTTAATGGTTCTACTTCATTTTTTATAAACTATAATAAACACATGATAGTAAAATAAAAACATTTGAAATGTCAATTTTGTCAGTAGTTATTGTGATTATATTAATCACATGATGTTATGTAAATGTATTTAATAATGTTATTATTATTATTAGTAGTAGTAGTATTAGTATTAGTATTATTATTATTTATCTTGGTACTGTTGTTATTATAGTGACCATGACAATAACACTTTCAACAAAGCAGTAGCATTTAATTCATATATCAATTTATTGTCTTGTCGATATTTAGGCTTAGTATCTCTGAATAATACCATAGACTCTCAGAAATAAAGGTACTAATCTGTCACTGGGGTGGTTCCCTCAAGGATACATCTCAGGACCTTCAGTCAGGGAACATAACTGTACCATAATCCACTGAAATGATATTTTCTAAGTTGTACTGACTCCACACACCCCGTCTCGTCTCCAGACTTTTTATTTTACTGTTTAAAACATTCAGTTGTGAAAAGATACAAAAATGTACTTTTATCCTGGAAAATCTTATTTAAGGTTCACAACTGGATCTTAAATCCACTGCTGTACCTTTGAGGTACATTTACATTGTTTGTACCTTGATAAACGAAAAATGTACCTGCACAGAACCTTTATTTCTAACAGTGTAGTACGTCAAGATAACTTATTTTATCTAAATTTATATATGACTATATATATGACTGTGTTGAAATAATTAATAGTTTTGTCAGTCATTATTTTGACAAAGTTTGCTAATAAAACTGCTGCTAGAAACATGGGCGAGTTTTTCTCCTCTACCTTCCTTCAGGATCTACGGAAGTCTGGAGAGGCCATGAGCATAATTTTCTGGATTGTTGTCTTGAGATAATGAGATAAGTAACTCATTATTTCAAGATAACAGTTTTGTTATCTTGAAACAACAAGTTAAATAACTCGTTATCTCAAGACAACAACTTTATTTTTGTTATCTTTAGGCAACAAAGCAGACTTGACTACTGTAATGCTCATCTCACTGGACTTCCTAAAAAAACTACATCCCTTACAACTTGTACAAAATCTGGCAGCAGCATCCAAACAAAAACAACACAGAGAGATCAAATCCCTCCTGATTTAAAAGAACTGTGCTGGCTGCCTATATCTTTCAGGATAGATTTTAAAGCTCTGCTACTAGTTTTTAAAGCTCAAAGTGACCTTAAAGCACCGCTTACATCACAGAGTGTCTGTCTGTTTATGTTCCAACACTGCAGATACTGACCTTCTGCAAAAACCCTCTGTATAATACAGAAAACATGGAGAGACTCTTTCAGTTATTCTGCTTCTAAACTGTGAAGCTCAGTTCACCTTTTATTAGTCAGTCAAGCTCAGTGCTCACTTTTAAGAAGCATCTAAAAATGTATCTCTTTAACTCAGCATTTAATTAAAACTCTGCATTTGATGGTGTTTATCTTCTAATTTGATCTGCTTAATTTTCTTCTGATACTAAATAAACACTCATGATTTCTTGTATGACTGTTTTAT